ACTTTTAATGTCTTTGCAATCTTTATCTGGATTATTCTAAAGAATTGTCTTTTTGTGGATGGTTGGTGGGTGCTCTGGTGTGGTTTGCTCCTTCTTTCCTATCAAATATCTATCGTCTTTATCTCCTCTCCTTTTTTGTGTTGTTACTCTCTTGCAACACCTAATCTTCGGCACTTATATGACCTTATTGTGTTGCAAGTGCCGTAATACTTTTACTAAAACTAAGTCTTATTTTCAATACCCCTCTATGAACACTATGGTAAGCAAAAACAGGACTTACATGACTGACGATCCATTTCTGAATTTCTGATTTCCCGTTGTTTTCATAGGGGATGTAGCGTGGCTAGCTGTGAAATACAGCAGGTGTTCTTCAGACCTGTCACAAACTTTCAGTGCAAAAAATGGCCAGTGACAAAATATAGAAGCTACGCTGACGACAAAGTGGCCCCTGTTATAACATTAGTCAAGATATTTGTGTGTCTGTGCACATGCACGCGTGCGTGTATCTAATATAAATGTAATTATTATTGCCTTTATTGTACAGACTCCATCGAACTGCAACTGAATATAAGGTTAAACTATGACAGTTTTCTGTAACTCGAACAGTTTTCTTGGCTACCGGACTCGTAATCGTGAGATTGCGGGTTCGGGGGTTCAAGCCTCAGCTCGGTCCAACGTTGTGTCCTTGGGAAAGGCACTTTACACGAACTTCCCACTTGGTTCGGTCCTATCGGAGACGGACGTTAAATTAGGAGGTCCGCCTCTTAAATAACCTAATAAAGTTGATAGGGGCGTTAAACTCATACCATTTCATTTATTTTTCCAAATTGGCCATCGTGTATAATCGTATATATATATATATACCACTGAATAACTTTTGATATAAATGAAAGGGAAGAAAATACATTTTGAAAATTTATTTATTGCTGTTTATTGATTATCAGCAAAGTTGAATTGATTTTGAACAATCCGTTGGATGCTCTAATCCGTCCATCCAAAGGCATCCATTCAGTACCGGGTGTGGCTTCCTGCTAACTGGAGTACCGCTTGACATCTTCTAGGCATCGAGGCGATGAGACGACGAATGTTGGGAAGTAGTATTGCCCTCCAATCTTCATCCAAGGTGGCAAACAGCTCATCAAGAGTGACAGGGGCGTCAACTCTGTTCTGGAGACGTCTGTCCAAAGCATCGCAAATGTGTTCTATAGCTTTCGTATCCCGCGAATTTGAAGGTAATGGGAGTGTCTGGACATTGTTCCTAGCCAGAAAGTCTCTCGTTACTCTTGCAGTATGCGGTCTGGCATTGTCCTGCAGGAAGATTGCCCCTGGTTGTTGACGGAATAGAAGGGCTTGTGGTAGGAGAACGTTGTTGATGTAGACCTGGGCTGCCAGATTACCTTGTACTCTCACCAGGTTGCTCCTGCCAGTATGGCTGATTGCTCCCCACACCATCACACTGCCATCACAATGTGATAAGACCTGGGAGATGCATCCAGCAGCGAACCTCTCATTTCGACGTCGGTAAACTCAACGTCGTCTGTCACGTCGAGATATGAGAAAATTTGATTCATCACTGAACCATACGTGCGGCCACTTCTGTAGCCTCCAGTTGAGGTACTGAGAGGCCCATTGTCGTCGTAGTTGGTGATGCCAGTCCGTCAACAATGTCCTTAAAACATATCGGTATGTGCAGAGCCTTTTTTCTCGGAGTCGGTTGAGTACTGTCTGGTCGGAAATTCAGATGATATTCCGAAGCGTTTGGGCCGTTGAAGAGGCAGGCACAAAACGATACCGCTGGTGCTGAAGCTGAATAAACCGTTCCTGGGCTCGAATTGTTGCCCTTGGCCGTCCCCTTCTCGGTTGATCGGCAGTGGAGTTCGACTGTTGAAACCTTGCAAAAAGTCTGCTGATGGTACATTGTGATACGTTTTAATGTGTGGCAACATCAGTTTGTCTGTCTCCGGCTTGCAAACGTCCAATAATAGCCTGGTTTTGTTCTTCTATCGTTAGTCATGGCATGGTATATCGCTGAACTGACAGGTGATGAAATCAATCCATTATAATATAGCCACCCAGTGAATGAACTCACAGGGCAAATTTTGTGCGACTACTCAGTTTGTTAGTTTTTTAACACTGAATTATCACTCAATTCAACAGCTCAGGCTGCGCCTCCCTGAAAGTAAACACTGAAATTTGTAGTGAAAAGTTCTAGACAACAAGTCACACATATGTGTGAAAAAAACTAGCTTGCACAAAACCTCATCTTTACATATTTTATTATCACGAAAACACAGGCACTTGGTTATGCGTTTCTTTTTTTGAAGACTATATAACTCCACATGGGTGGAGGACACCACTGGTTGGTCCAAACTGCTGCTCGTTCCCTTGATTGTTTCTGTCCGTCTTGTTTATACCCTACACGAAGTGACATTTATTGTGTCGATGTGCTTATTTTTTTTCTCATGTAAACGTAATGATGTAAACTGGTGGAAGGGGCTCTCATGGCCTAGAGGTTTAGGTGTTCGCCTCTCATTCAAAGGTCCCGGGTTCGAATCCGGGTAGCGACGGAAACATTTCTTCTCTAAAATTGTTTCCTTTCATCTCCTTTCCTACTCTCTAGCAATGTTCTGGCGTCTGCTTTCGTCTCCCCTTTCTACCCCCACCCCTCACCTCCTTTGCCCCCTCCTCTGGGCTCCTGACTCTTTCTGTAGCATTTCCACTGCTTCCCCTTGGCTCCTTCTTACTGCTGTCTTTCAGCCACACTCCTGATCTCGGTGGGCCCGTGTGCAAGTTGCGCACGTTAAAGATCCCTTGGTGGTCCAAAATCGATAAGGGTAGGCGTCGGCCGCCACTCGGGCAAATTTCAAAATTTCCTACCAACCGAAAATTCCTAGGTGTGTCCCGCGCGTTTATATGACCTTATGCAGTTGCGAGCGCCGTAAAACACTTAGAATCCCCCCCCCCCCCCAACAACAAAAACAAACAACAACAAAACAAAAACAAAAACAAAAAGCAAACAAACAAAATAAAACAAACAAAACAAACAAAACAAACAAACCCAAAACAAACAACAACCAAAAACAAACAAACTGGTGGAACATTTTTCTTTATTTCCCTCCATTGTTTCGGTCTGTTGCGCTCTTTCCCATCTCCAATGGACAGTTATCACGGCGATGTGGTGCGCTTGACTCAGACTTAGCTCAACGTTTGAGCTCATCTCAAATTACCTTAAGTTTTCTTTACTCATGGTTGTAACTGTGTTCATGACTTTGTGGAAGGCGCCACAGGTTCGTCCTGTCTCTTGGTTCCCTGTGTAGCTTCTGTCGTCTGTCTATCTATCTCACTCGTACGTCCGGTCTCTTGGTTCTCTGTGTAGCTTCTGCCGTCTGTATGTCTGTCTCACTCGTACGTCCGGTCTCTTGGTTTCCTTGTGTTGCTTCTGTTAATCTGTCTCACTGGGTGGTTGGTGGGTGCGCTGGTGTAGTCTGCTCCTTCTTTTCTATCAAACATCTATCGTCCTTATCTCTCCTCATTCTTTTGTGTGTGTTTGTTACTCTATTGTAACAGATCTAATTTTCGGCACTTATTTGACCTTATTGTGTTACAAGTGCCGTAAAACACTTACTACAACTAAACTGTCTCTGGGTTGCTCCATGTTACTTCTGTCCGTATGTCTCACTACCATCGGTGTGTTTGCCTTTACTCACACACAAAGTCAAACTTATCCCTCGTGGGTGGTTGGCGGGTGCTCTGGCGTGGTTTGCTCCCTCTCTCCTATCAAACATCTATGGTCTTTATCTCCCCTCCTTCTTTTTTGTGTTAGTCACTCTTGTAACACCTCTAATCTTCAGCACTTATATCACCTTATTTTGTTGCAAGTGCCGTAAAACTTTTACTAAAACAAACAAATCATTTATCATCCTTTTATATCCTCCTTCTTTTCTTTGTATGGGTATGTCACTCTCTAGTAGCACCTGTAATCTTTGGATCATAATGGTCACTTTTAAGCACAAGGGGGCTATCCCGAAAAATTGTTTGGAGGAAAAGGAGGGTAAAGTTTTTTCCCCTTGTTCAGTTTCTTTAAAAGACATATGACCTTATGCAGTTGCTGTGGGCGCGTAAAACATCTACTAAAACAAACCAAAAAAAAGGGAGAGTTTTCTCTATAATCAAATAAATATACTCACTATTGAAACCAAACTTCTATAGGTAGGCCAATGCCCTCTCTTTGGTGTAGGTAAAGATTTCTGGAAACCCCCGAAATTAAGGTACCCGCTTGTCCTTAAAAACGACCGTATATTACCTAAAATGTTTTGCAAGTACCATAAACCCATGATAAAACTAAACAAAAGTTTAGTGTGCCTGTGACTCCCACTTAATGCGTGCTGGTCTGTAAGTGAATGAACATTTTCTCGGTACTTACTTACTTATTTGGTTACCTACTTGGTTACTTACCTGGTTGGAGAATATGCATCACTGCAGGCGGCACAATGCCATAGCTGCTCCTCCCTCCTCCCCAGGATCCATGAAAGGGTCTACCTGCTGATCGGGCCAGTTACTGCTGGTTGGATATTCTTCTGGCTTTTCCACGCAGGTTGCTGTCTCTCCCCGACCCTCTAGGGACACCAGCTTCCCTTAGTCTATCCATTGTGTGTGAAGCGGTGTCTTCATCCTCTCTGTGGTCGTTGAACCATGCTGTCAATGCTTCCATTACTGTTGATGGATCTAATTGCACGGTGCCACCAATCTCAGACTGGCCGGCTACCTTATCCGCCCGTTCCATGCTATACATTTTCTCGGTGAAAGTGGGTAGTTGGCGGATGGTCTGGTGTGGTTTGCTCCTTTTTTCCTATCAAACATCTATCGTCTTCATCTCCCCTCGTTCTGTTTTGTATATGTTACTTTCTTGTAACACCGCTAATCTTCGGCACTTATATTCTGACCTTACTGTGTTGCAAGTGTCGTAAAACTCTTACTAAAACTCTCCGTAAAATCTGCAGGCGAGGGTATGGACGAGATGGAGTTCACGGAGGCCGAGTCCAACATGAGCGACCTGGTGTCCGAGTATCAGCAGTACGAGGAGGCCACGGTGGAAGACGGGATCAACTTCTACGAGGAGGAAGAAGAGGAGGCCTAACACCAGGAATCTTCCCTCGACGCCATCAACTTTTGTTACAAATTTTCACTCCGACCATGAATATTCTTTCCCCGAGGTTATCCCAGGATGTGAAGTTGAAATCTCCACGATACAAAGATGGGATGAAGTGGTTTCTACACGTCTGCACAGCTTTCCCAATGCCAAACGGACACGGTCATCAGGTCAGAAGGCACGTATTCAACTCAGCTAGTTCATCGCCTGAGTGTTGTAGCTGGATTTCTTGAAATCTGAGCAATAAATTAGCCCCTAGAGACTCTACTACTGAATGTTATCTCGTTTACGGCTCTTGATTTCTTTCCTCTCTTTTTGGGGAGGGGGCGACAATGAACTTCTTACAACCCAATAAAGGAAATTGTGCAACAAACCGAGAATCTATATGATCTGAAAAGGTGCATCGTGTTGATGAAATTGATGATAGTTGAATAATTGCCGGGTGTTTGACTGAGCTCACTTTTAAGTAGGTCTGCTTGCCCCTTCTCTTTAGCTGTTTCCAGTTCCATGTCTTCGTACACCTTGGCACTCGACCAACGGACACACGCTTGTGTGATTTTAAATTGACAACAACAACAGCCAGTTTTTCTAACCTGTTTTGGAGAAATGAGAGACCTTTAATGGGTTGCCTCACGATGGCCTATACCCTAAGAACACCCACATGCCACCCCGACATCACTGAAAACAAAATCATATCACCTCATAGTCATTTGGAAGACTTTATTACTAATATGAGAGTAAAGAGCTGTCCTTCAGTGACTGGGTGTGGACATCATAATCTGGAAATACACTCACTCTCTCTCTCTCTCTCTCTCTCTCTCTCTCTCTCTCTCTCTCTCTCTCTCACACACACACACACACAAAGTTCAACGATGCTGTCTTTTTTTTTTTAATGAAGGTGTTTTTACACCCCATCTGCACAATTTAAATCATTTAGGACGCGGGCTTCCGATCCTGCTGAAGCCAGATACAAAAAATAAAACAGAAAAAATAACTCCAAACCCACTCTATCAACTGCATTTCATTGTGTTTCTTTTGCTTTTATTTCCTTGCGATTTCTTAAATCTGCCAGACTTTATGGGCCACTCCAAACAACGCTGACGTTTTGACCGAGTTTCTTAGTGCATAAATATTAATAAGGCGGCACAATCTCGATGTGCACCAGCCGAACAAAGCCCATAGAGGCAGTCTAAAAATAACGTGATTTCAGACCAGTTCACGATAGACTACACAATTCAATGATGCCCGTATTATGATAGCTTTGGAGCAATCCACCGGGGTGCTCAAAGTGATGTGCGATTGGTCCATTGTCTTGCCATCTCTAGCCCCACCTCTGTAACCCTGAACTTGAGCGAGGTCAACATGACGTAATTAGGTCACTGTGTTAAAAGTTGAAATGGTGTAGTCTAGCATCTGCGTTGGTTGCCATTTTTTTGTCTAAAAGTTGCCAAAAGTTGCCACGAAAATGGCAAAAGTTGCCATAAAAGTTTCCTTTCCATGTTCCACGAAGACGATATTGATGTCTTGTCATCTCCAATGGCAGTCTCACACAACTGTCCTAATGCTACAAGCGTCAGTACAGCCCCTGCCTTTTTTAAAGCCAAACTGGGATTCATTGAGTTGAGTCTCTACAATTGGTCTCATTCTCATTTCCAGTATCTTGGCAAACGTTGTATCCACACGGCTGAGAAGAGATATTCCTCTATAGTCCCTGTGTTGTTTTTGTCGCCTAGGCCAGGTTAAATATCCTCCATAGCCAGAGTTCACCGATATGGCCGCATAGTTTGATCTCTTCTACTGTGATGTTTTCAACGCCTATCACTTTGTTTGTGGGGCTTTTCTTTATGACATGTTGGGTTTCACTAAGCAGTATTAATGGTTCTGGTGCAGTTTCTTTCGGTGAGAAGCTGCTTGGTGTTATTTCTCCTGTAGGATTCAGCAGCTCCTGGAAATAGCGTTTCCATCTTTCTTTAACTTTTGGCTTTCTGAAAATAGGGTTTCCGTTCTTATCATTGACTATTTCTGTTGGGTTGAAAGGTTCTTCCCGCATCCTCATGCTTTTAACTCTCTTGTAAAACTCTCAAGGGTCTTCATATACTGTCCAGGATCTGTTCTTAGCTTCCTTTACTACCCTTGATGTTTAACGGCGTTCCTTTCTGTGTAGGACGTAATCTTCCCCCTTCTTTGATTTCTGCCACTTTTTGAATGCCTTTTTCTTCAGTTGGATGGCTTCCTTCATTTAGTCATTCCACCATATAGTTGTTTTTTTTCTGCCCTCTTGTTTTCCTTGTGCCGCACTCCTCTTTTAATGCTCTTTTCACACATACCTTGAAGTGGCTCCTTTCCTCTTCAAAGTCTCCCGGTTGTTTGGGCACCTTGTGAAATACATCTTTCAAACGTTCATGTATCTTATCTTTGGTACTGTCATTTATATTTCTTGAGATTTACCACTTCTCGTCGTTTCTTTGCTTCTGGCCTTTTCCTGCTTGGTGTGTCAATAGTCATGATGACTGGTCTGTAATTAGTGTCTATGATGTAGATGGAAATCACTCTTGAGTCTCTGATATTTCTCAGTTTCGATCTTTTGGCCCCTATAAAATCAAAATTTGTGATGCTATCTTTAGGTCATTCCATTTGTACCAAGTTTTAACTTGACTCCTTTTGCGTTGGAAGAAGGTATTTGATATGACGAGGTCATGTTCTGCACACAACTGTAATAGCATTTCTCCATTGCTGTTTTGATCTGTTCCTTTGTCACTGTGTGGTCTCATGTATCTCTCCCACGTCGGCTTCCTTGTTTCCACTCTGCCGTTAAAGTCCCCCATGATTGTCACATTATCTTTGTCATCCACGGTGTTTAAAAGATCACTTGGTAGATCAGAGAACCGTTGTCGCTGTTCTTCGCGGTATGAGTCACTGCATGGTGCATATGTCTGTATTTGATGCCCCTCAGTAATTATCATATTCTATGGTGATTCTTGTATCAATCTCCCGCTTTATACCATACTTGCTGAATTTCATATATTCTTCAAGTCTGTGTTATGCTTCTTTAGTTTAGTTTTAGCTTGGGTTTAACGGCACTTGTTACACAAATAGGTCATATAAGCGCCGAAGATTCGGGGTGTTACAAGAGAGTAACATACTCAGAACTGAACGCGGACAAATAAGGACCGTTGATTGTTAAAAGGAAAAAAAGGAACAAACCACACCCAGAGCACCCGCCAACCTCCTGCTTGAGTTATGCATGTAAGATTGAAACTGCTTTCAATTTTATTGATATTTCTCCAATAGCAAGTTAAAAACTCTTTAAAACAAAATGAGTGATGTTTTTCTTTTGAAAATCGGACCATTATTACGGAATGTGTGCCCGTTTCTTTATTTGGATAAGAGGCATCGGACTTCCGACGTCACGTTTCTGACGTAATTAAACAGTAAATAGAATTTTTCTCTTAACGTATTTGACTTTTATTTCTATATATTGATTCTACATAAAACAACAAACAAAATGATACTTCAATGGTTACGATACTACTATTATTAAAGATTTTATGACGTTTTGAAGCAAAATTTGGAAGTTTTGTAGCACAAAACGCAGTGCAAAAATTTGGCCAAATCAGGGCGAAAATTGATTTACAAAAATGGTCGCTGCTTCTGAACTAACAAAGATAGCTCAAAAATTTAAAAAGCTTTGAAAACAGAAAACCAAGCTCTTTCCTATAGTCCTAGTTTTAGTGCCCTTGGAGAAGTTTGAAAATGTCACTGAAGTACCTAACCGCACTATCAATCTTCGACTCTTCCAAATTCCAGCACTACCAAAAGTCGTTTCCTACAGTTCTTTTTATATCGTTTACAGAAATATTACAAGTACTGTTTTGCATAAAATCAAGTTACAAACAGAATTGTAAGTATTACATGGCAATGAAATATTTAATTTAAGTCTACTCAAGGCCATACAATCCAGGACCTTTATTCAACTCTGAAGGACTACAAACTCGACACAACATTTAGAAAAGTATGCAAAGTTCTAGAAATCGCACTGACATTTATGTCGATCCACAAGGACATCATTGACAGCATGCCCAACTTCGTCAACAGAATAATGGACACTTTTGCAGCTGAAAAAGAACGAAAGGAAGACTTCTTCTTCAAATAGATTTTCTCAAAACAGGTAGGATGAAGAAAACATCTCATTTATCATGCCTTTGACTATCTTCAACCTGCTTTAACCTAATTGTGTACGCCGACTTTTAAGACCCACGGCCGGCCCTGTTCAAGAGTGATTCCCAACTATATCATAGACACTGATCGCAGACTAGTCATCAAGACTATCGACACACCAAACAGGAAAAGGTCAGAAGCAAAGAAACGAAGAGAAGTCGAAAATCTCAGTAGTATGAATGACGATACCGAAGATAAGATACATGAACGTTTGAAAGATGTGTTTCACAAGTCGTCCAACCAACCGGAAGACATTGAAGAAGAATGGAGCCACTTCAAAGCATGTGGGAATTGTGTGTACAGAGCATTAGAAGAAGAGTGAGGCACCAGGAAAATAGGAGGGCAGAAAAGGAATTATGGTGGAATGACCAAAAGAAGGAAACCATCCAGCTGAAGAAAAAAGCTTTTAAAAAGTGGTAGAAATCAAAGACAGAGGAAGATATACAGAAAGGAACGCTGCCAAACAACAAGGGTAGTAAAAGAGGCTAAGATCAGATCCTGGACAGTATATGGAGAACAGCTGGCAACTAAATTATACTAAATATAAGAAGACCTTTGGGAGTTTAACAAGAGCAGTAAAAAAGGATGAGGATACGGGAAAAACCATTCAACCCGACTGAAATAGTCATTGATGAGAACAGAAGCCCTATTTTCAGTAAACCAAAGAATACGTTTAAGTAAGGAAAGATGGAAACACTATTTTCAGGAGCAGCTGAATCCTATAGGACAAACAACACCAAACACAACAGCTTCTCACAGAAAGAAACCATCAATACTGCTGAGTGAAACCCAACATAATATAAAGAAAAGCCCCCCCCCAAAAAAAAACAACAACACAAAAACAACAAAATAAAACCAACCCCCCAAAAAAACAAAAAAACAAAACAACAACAACAACAACAATAACAACAACAACAACAACAAAACAAACGATCTCGCTGACAGTAATGCCAAACTGGCAACAGCGCTGCCGGGTCCAGGCCGCCAAATTACTTATGACAGTGCGTGCGCCCAGATAAAACTAATTACAAAAGACCCCCCTATATGCCACACGCGGACGAAGGATGTATACAGGGCATTTTCCTTAAAACGAGAGGCTCTTATTATGTCCCGCAGTGACCAGTCGTTACTGGCAAAAATCAGGACCGGTCACTTCTCTGGG